TAAGAAGAAAATTACTTAAGCTGGAAAATAAGTAAGATTTCACATAATAATAGAGAAAGGAAAGTGGAGGCAAACTTATTATAGCTTTGAACCAAAAAAAAAAAAAAAAAGGTAAAGCTATGGGAAATTAATATGAAGCTGTAGGAATATAGCAGGCATGGTTCCTATTCCTAAGAAGGACATGAGAGGCTAACAAAGAAGACAAGAAGAAAGGAGCATCAAACAGGTTGACCAAAAGTTCTGATAAAAACTTTTTTTTTTAATTGTCAGCTAGCAGAGGGCAATAAAGATTAGGATAACAATGGGGTGGGGGGGACAGAGGTGTCAGAATTCCAGTTTAGTACTGCTATATGCTTTATTAACTCAGATAGTTTTGGAATTGGCAAGAATCCGAAAAAAATGTTAACTCCAAATTAAAATGCCACCTATTATTAAGCTTCTCTCCTGCTGCTCGAAGGTCCTGTTTGACCTCCTGTTTCCACACACATCTCACTTTATATTTGAGTGGATTTGGACATACTGCCTTCCTCTGTGTTCTATGTAGCACTGTCTACCTGACTTCACTCTGGTTTATAAAGGGTCCCTCGGCTGTCAGAAAAAGCCAGGGGGTGGGTCTAATCTAAAATCTTGGAATATCCCATTCCCAAACTGCTTACACCTAGATCTAGGTTCTCTGCACTGACTTTCCTTGGGTTGAAGGACTCACTGCTACGTAAGTTCTTCAGTCCTTTTCTTTTTTCCCATTGTCCCGATTTATTTAATTTTTAAAATTTATTTTCTTACATCATTGTTAATTTTTGGACAATATTTGATTTCTCCCCTCAGGTGTAGCCCATGTAGCTCTTCCACCACTATAACACCTGTGATCTATCACCATAGTCTTTTGTGATCTTCCCTCTCCTATTTTGACTCCTCTCTTAGCCTCCCCCATCCCTGCTACATGTCTCAGATCTATAGTCAGTTTGCAATTTTTGTCTTTTTCTTGACTCTTTGTTCAGTTTCTCTATATTCCACCTATGAGTGAAACAATCAGATATCTATCTGCCTCCTTCTGACTTACTTTGCTTAGCATAATCCCTTCTAGCTCCATCCATGTGGTCACAAATGGCATGGGTTTATATTTTTTGAACGCTGAGAAGTATTCCATTGTGTATATACATCATATCTTCTTGATCCATTTATCTGTTTGGGGGCATTTAAGTTGTTTCTGTATCTTAGCTATTGTAAATAATGCTGCAATAAACATAGGAGTTCAGGTTTCCTTTTGAAGTAGTGTTTTTGTGTTCTTTGGGTAGATTCCTAGGAATGGAATCACTGGATCTAATGGTATATTACTTTTTAGTGTTTTGAGGAACCACCACCCAACTTTCGTTTGTGGTTGGACCAGTTTACATTCCCACCAGTAGTTAAGAGAGTTCCTTTTACACCTTATCCTCACCAGCATTTGCTGTTTTTAGTTTTTTTGATATGGGCCATTCTTGCAGTTATCTTCATTGTTTTTCTATTCCTATTATTATATTGCAGTTTTCCTGGTTCTGGATTCTTTCCTACCATCTGGTGAAAAAGAACAAGCACTGATAGATACAAGGACCCATCAAGGAAGAGAATATGCTAATCAGAGGCAGTTGAGGGGAGATACATTGTTACAGTGGACAGGAATCAAACCCAGGACAGGGTAAGTATCTAAAAGCATTGGTCTATGATATGAAATTTATGGAGCAGAAAATACTTTTTTCCAAAGATAGAGTCATGTCTCTCTACAATGACCACCTTTTTTCTTGTTAATTTAATATCTGTCTTACTGTTTTCACTACAAGTTCTTTTTCAGTTGGATTGGAAGGGTAGGAAGTAGTCCTGACAACCTACTCCTCTTTTGTCACAAAACCTGTTTGATGGAGGAGTGACTATAATGGGTTCTGGTACTATAATGGGTTCTCCAGGTAGCATAGAGACATCAAAGGATTGAGAAAGAGGGGAAATTATTACTATGGAAGATAATTACTGTTAATCTAGACAGCTAATGCATTTTCCTGTTATAGCAAATCTCCATATGAGCTAAGATATAAAACTTTGCAGGTCTTTATAAATAATAGGCATTTGTGTTAATACTTTAAGAAGTAAATTTGAGGACAATGCACAAAATAAGATTATTTACTGACAAACACATAGCACGAAAATGCAAACCAAAGTCCTGTAATCTTAAAATGTGGGCATTAGGGAGGGGATATCTCAGTATCTTTTAACTACAGCCACCACAGAAAAACAAAAATGGCATTTCAGGTTGGTCATCGCTTTAAAGAGATCCTATTTTAACTGTATGAAACTTCTTCCCAATTAAGATGCAAATATATGCTCTATTTTGGGCCTTTAAACCTAAAAATGTAATGCAAGTTTGGGAAAAATTGAAAAAAATATTTATTGTTCATCATATTTAACATCAGTGTATTCTACTTTTGATTCTAAGATGCTATTTTCTTTTGTTTTTTCTTTTCTGTTTAATATGTTTCAGCCTACTCTGTTCATGTTCATTTCTTTGACCACCAATGTTGATATTGCTAAGAAATTCCTATTCAGAAATTCCTATTCTGTCTCCACTCATTTAATACATTCTTTCTAGGTGATCTCATCTAATATTATGCATTCAGCTACACCCTATAAAGTCATAAGTTAGTATTTTAGCTCAGAGCTTTTACCTAAGGTCCAGATTGACTAATGAACATGTCAACAGCAGCTTTTTAACAGCCATCTCTGCTTCCAGCCTTAACAATTTTTAGTCCACTCTACATTTATGCCAATGACTAGATACTCACCACCTACCTTCACAGTATTCAGTGATTGTAATGCATTTAATATTAAAAAATCTAAAGTATTTAAGTTTGATACACAAACATGTGTGTATATTTATACATTTGCATACACATATCTACATATCTTCTTACTATGATACTTCAATATGTAGCCCAATATCATCTCTCTAAAGTAACTGCTCCTAATCTTTTGAACTAGTTGCTCCATATTTTTAGAAAATCCGCTTTACCATTACTTATTATTAGACTACTTCTACATATTTCAAAATGAGGAGAAGTGGCAATTAAATTCAAAAATTATCGAGGCCATTCTATGACAGGCATTAGGTTCATCTTCATAGTTTGGCCAGGCTATTTCCTTGCACTATAACCTACACACGGGGCTGTAAGAATCTTCTAGGTTTTCTCAGTACCTTATGTAGAGATTCATATATGAAAACTTTCAGTAAGAACAAGTAATAAACATAGTTAACATTTACACACCCTTTATTATAAGATAGATATTTTAAGTCCTTAACATATTTCATTCAATTCTTTATATAGCCGACTGAAAAGTATTCCATTTTAGAGAAAAAAAGAAATGAAGCCTTTTAACCAGGTTAATTTACTCAAAGGTACATGTAGAGTTCATACTTAATCCCAGCTCTGTCTGAGTACAAATGTCCATGTTCTTAAATAGTAAATATAACCCCTCACCGTAAAATAAATGTTTTAATATACATATATGAAACAAAGGCATAACAGGATAAAAATTAATATTCATCTGAATTTTAAAACCTCTTATCATTTTCTTTTTTTAAAATCTATTATTTTATATTTGACAGTATATTAAAGAACAGCATATTTGTTCTCAATAACAGAAGGAAAATTATGAACTTTTATAATCTGAAAGAAATGTCATCATTAATTCCACGATGAAAATATTTAAAATCACCAACAGTGGCTTTCTATTCTAACAGTGTGTCCATAGACATCCTTTCATATAATCAGAAAACTCACTTTATTCTTCAGTTTTTTAATTACTATGTTTCTCTTATTAACCACTATCACAATATTGCTCACTTAACATCTATTTCTTAGACTAATGAGTCTCCAAATGTTTGGAGTTGTAACCCCAACAGAGAAAATATTATGTTTTCAATAAATGTATGTCCAGAAATTATATATGTATGCCAATGTGAAAAGATTGTTTACACTACAGAACACACTTCTGAATGGAAATAAAAACTGTGAGATTAAAAAATAAATATAAATCCTTATAATTTTCCTTCATCCCAAATGGTTTCCTTGTCCTGTCCCCAAAACTCATCAGCTAAACTAGTGCATCTCAAATGGTAATGTGCATACAAATTACCTAGAATTCTTGTTTTTAAATGAGATTCTAATTCAGTATGTTTCAAATGGGCCTGAGAGTATTTATTTCTAAAAAGCTGCCAAGTGATACTAATGCTGCACACATGCTAAGTAGCAAGAACTTGTTTTAAACAAGAGATTTATGTTTAGCCAAATTTATGCTGCTATGTTCCATGGGGTAAAATAAACAACTGATTCTAATGTCAACTTTCACCACCATGGCAAAAGTGAGGAAAACTGCACTTTAAACCATACAACAATCATTATATACAAAGAACAATTCTGAAATGTGGATAATTATAAGACTGGGCGTATACTTGGCTAAACTCAGAATAACAAACTGATTTTGTTTTCATACACTTCTATCACCAAAGAGAGCAGTGAATAGAAATTAAGAAAACAAAATTGATTAAAACATGTAGTTTTATGTGCTTTCCAAGATGAAATTAGTAGGCAGAAACTCGTGGCTAATTATTATGAGCTAACATTTATGTTTATGTTAAGAGTAATTAGCAATCTGGTTTTTTAAAGCTTTTAAATAAATACAAAGTGAGAGTGGCGAAAGACTTTTAAAATCCTATTTTAAATTTACACAATTTTAACAGGTCCAAATAGCTTAAATTTATGGGACTGTATATATGGAACTCAGGTAAATTAGGAATATAGCAGAGTAAAATCAGAAAGCATTTTGGTCTTACTATTAGTTTTCAGTTCCCTAAAAATTCTAGAGTTCCAATAATAGTAACTGTATGAGTACATTTCATGCTGACTCTCCAATAATTTCCAATAGTCAAAAAACCACATTAAAACTAGCATCATACCCAAACTTCAGTTATTTACCTTGTCAATCATTTTTCTTGCTTCCACTTCCTCACTGTTGGGATTCTCTAACTCAATGGTATAAGTACCCTTGTCACTTTGGTCATCATCATTATCCTTTTCAGAAGTAGCAGAAGTAGCTTGATTTTTTAACATTTTATCCATCTCCTGGCTTGGTCTGTGCCCAAGACTCCCTGAACTTCTTAATAATGCAGTTTGTAGGAAGGGAATTGACACCGATGGCTCCTCTGATTTCTGTTTTAGCAATTTCCCATGTGGAACACCATGCCCCCCTCTGTGATGCGCAGAGCTAGTCTGTAAAGACAAAGAAACCACTTTGGCATCTGCTGTTGGAGATTTTTTTTCAAGTTTTGTATGTGGTGTTGAATAAGTATTGATAGTTTCCTGACATAAGATCCCCACATTCTGATTAAAAGAACATGACCTTCGTTTTCTGGAACTGTCTTCATCAAAGAATGCAATCATAAAAGCAGTTTGACTTACAACAGCTTGGTCTTGATGTCTTTCAGCAGCCTGGACCTTGTGAAGCTTTTTCTGTTCTGAATGGTGACGTCTTAAGTGTTCCTCAAGAGTTGCACGTTTGCTACAGCGCCTGTGAGTCCCAGCATTTTCTGAATCACTCTGTGTACCGTCGTCATGTTTATTTCCTGGACATAAAAAGGAAACAACATAATAAAGAAGGAAAAACAAAACCCATGCAGAAAATAAAAGCATATATGAAAGTGCTGTCTGCTTTGTCCCTTCCCATTTCAATCTAAAGTCTTATGTTTGTTTTTTTTTTTTTTTTCAGTAACAGGTTCTACAAACTCTCAATTGCAATGCTTACATTCAAATTTTATGAACCAACAATAAGGTCCATTACAAACACATAAACAGGACTATGTTTCCTACTTCAAAAATGACTTTATAATGACTCATCAATGACTTAAAGATAAAGCAATGTGATATCATCTGTAAGTCTCTATCAGTTACAAAAAATATTGATCCATCCTTTAAACTTTATACCTTATTTAAGCAATTAAAAATTTGTCTCTAGCATTATAAAAAAGAGGCAAGAGAAAGGGTGACAACATTACAGTTTATCACTACACAGGAAAAGGGAAGGTAAATGCCATAAAAATGTGATGAACTGATGAACATTATATACTTACAATGACATTCAATTAAAAGGGGGCATAAAAAAGATGCTATTTTTTTTATTTTCCATCAATTATTGTATAATTGTTTATAAATGTCTTCTTAGCCATGACAGATCTAAGAATTTGTATTTGTGCTCTCTGAATTCTGATGGCTGTAGAGTTAAATCTTGCTAAAAGGCCCAGCATGGAAAAGCAGTCTATGAAATCCTATATAAATCTTTTTTTTTTTAAAGAATTATTTTTATTTATTTATACAAGCACTGGGTACAGTCAGAAGCGCGGGAGGGTGAGGGAATCCACCAGAGCCAGAGTGGGGAGCAGAGCAGGCAGAAGGACCAAAGTACACTGCTGAGGGGAGCAGCGGGCGGCAGGAGAGGTCCATGCGCCATGTGGGACCTCCCCTCCGGTGGTCGGGGAGCAGCTGGGGATTGAACCAGCGCTGCAGAGGCTGCGGGCAGCTTCGCAACCCAGAGCTCAACCGCTGCGCCACCGGGGAGGCCCTATAAATCTAAGCATCTACTGGGCAAAGGGCATGGTGCTAAATACAATCAGATAAAAATCTGTCTTATCCATAAACCACATTGAGTCAAGTTAGAACATATCTGAATTTCAAAATAATCAGCTTCCTTACAGATTTTTTTGTTATCCTTCATAGTTCTATTAGGGATTAAATGTGAAACTTAGGGAAAATTATTTGATCTTTTCCACTGACTAGGTATTCTCATTATCTAAATAATAATTAGAATAATCAAATGATAATTAATATAACATGAAGTTATTCATAAGTCAAGCGTTATTCTATACATGTTTTATGGTTAACCACAAATATGGGCTTAAAAGATAACTTCTTTAGAAGAAAGATATAAATAATTCCAGTTTACTATATGAATTTCAATGCTTGCAGGACTAAATCTAATATTTACATTTTCCTGGGCTACAAATTTTAATATGAATATCTGCTGAATAATGTGGCATCATTAAGTTGATGATTGGAACTGAAAGACTTGGGGTATGAGAGGAGGCAAAGGACACATGTCCAAGGAAAAAGTTGAGTTTTAATACTCATGGGTTTCAAATGAATTTAGAGAATACCAATTGGTTCTAATGATTTCACACATAAGGACTAGTTGTAAAAATGTGTTATAAGAAAAGGGTGTTTTGGAAAGGTGGTACGGGAAGCAAAGGGAGTGAATAAGACCAAAAAGAGGGGTTTTCAGGGAGAACTCCCAGCAGTAACAGATGGTAATTATCATAAACATCACATATGACAAGAATAAATCTGAAAATTTTCTAATTTGTAACATTCAAAATGTAATCTGAAATGAAAAAAAAAAAAAGCTGTTTATTTATGGAACCTTGCCTCTGGACATTAAGCTAGAAATAATAGAAGGAACTGAAAACCAAACAAAGCCATTTATTCAAACACAACACTCACTTTAAAAAAAGGGCATTTCTAACCTATTTCTTGCATTGAATATACTGAAAAGAAATTTTGTTTGTAACTAAACTCAAATGTACTGGATAAGAAGATCATATAACCCACCTTACACAAACACACAACATAAAAACATCTTTAAAAAGTTTAGTAGTTCTTTAACCAATGCATCAAAGTTAGTTCATAAGTGGCATCAGGTCCTTTCAGCATTTTTTTCTTTAAGTTAAAGTTATAAAACATTCCTTTGTAGATTAGTCATTTTTTTAATGGAAATTATTATTCCTTCTTGTATTCCTCAGTATTACACAAGGTAAGAAATCTGATGAGAACTACAGTTTCTGTTTTCACTTACACACAAATAAAATTCAGTAGGAACCTCTCCCCACCAAGTCAGTCTTTCTTGTTTTGTCTATCATTAGCCATGCCTAATCTGATCAACTTCTTGTGGTAATTTTTAGGGTATGTTAGCTGTACCAAGTCAGTAGCTATAGATAAAAGAAGCTGCTGCTCTCCTAAAGGGTAAAAGTGTATGGGCTTTGTGAACATTATTTTCTTCACTGTCCCAAAACACATGCACTTTACTCTTGTAGGAGCAAAGATTTTTGTTTTTGTTTTGCTTTACATAATTACACTGAACTAAACAGTTACTAAAAGTCTACTATCATAAAATTGTTATTTGCTAAAATTACATTTATTTAGAAACTACACATATAATCTTGATAAACTAAATTTTTGAAAATCTTTAATGATGGCAGCTTTGACTTAACATGTGCATTAATGCCTATATTTGGATTTAGGTTTATTAATGGGCCTTGTTCAAGAACAGAGACTATCTTAAAATTATGACCTCAAAATTAACAGTTAATATAGAAATAGTTATAATAGCTATAAAAGTTATGATCAAAGGGTTTAATAAAGACATTTTTTAATTATAGCTTTTAAGAGAATCTTTTAACTAATTTTTTGTTATTATGAGGTTTAAAAAAGACCATATAACTTCTAACTTTTGAAGATTTACATTACCTATTATATTGTACTACAATATCAGTACTATTTATCCAATTCTAAAAATACTCAGTTTACAAATGGGCAGTTTTTATTTGTGAGTTTTAATCTATAAATACATATGTAGGTCTCAAATATGTATTTAGGATTACCAAACAGAAATCAAAGATATGTCAAAAGTAGACATTATGATTATAAATAAACAATAATAATAGGCCCCAGTGAAAAATTAGGTAATCATACCATCTCATCATCCTGAAATGGCTTAGAAGAAAATCAGAAATAGGGATGGGTTAAGCCAGGGTCAGACTTATTTCTGACAGTGAAGCCATTCACAGTTTATTCGATTTACTAAATAATCACATACTAAAATCCCAGGTGAAGTGTTTGGGCTACATAGGAATACATAGTAATATATATTGAGGTTTCTGACCTCAACAAGCATTTTATACAGCTTATTAAAACTCCTTGTATGGTTAACAGAATGGTCAGATTATTACGCACTCAATTCCCTTATCAAGAGCTTACTAACTAAAATTTAGAGTAATATAAATTTGTATTCAGTAAATTCTAAAATAAGTACAATTAACAAACCAGTAGAAAAATGATCAGCAATATGAAGAACAATAAACATTTTAATAATTATTTCATAAATTGTGATTTTTAGTTTACTTCAAATTGATTTTTATGAAAATCAACTATGATTATTTCAGAAAAGTCCTAACACTCAAAGGTTTTAATTTGATTAAATTAATCCAAGTAAGTATCTCCAAACAAAAAACTTTTGTTACATGAGTAACTGCTAAAAACAGTTGAAAACAGAAGCAAAGTCAAACTCCTGGCCCACTACCAAATGGCTTAAATTATTTTTCAAAATGTAGATACTGATATTTTATTCGAAGTGTCACACAGCGAAGACAACTGAATATATCTTTTTCTTAAGCCACAAAATCATGAAAATTGCCTTCTGGAAAATCTCACTTGAGAACTCAAAGAATCTTTTTATTTCCATTGGGAAAATAAACATTAAATGGCATAAATATCAATTCACAAAACCAATCCAGTATTGGTAAGAAAATGAAGACAGACTACTTTAAATAAGATGGATATGGCAGCATGGTCTGCTTTTTAGTTTTAAAATCAAATATAAACTTTGCAAAAGCAGAATTTTTCTACTGCATAATTATCTAAGTTTGGTAACTCTGAACAATGATTTTTTCTTTAGCATATATAGGAAGTTCTGAAATGATCAATTCACTTTACCTTTCAACCTTTTCAAGTAAACTGGAACATCACTTTTAATACTTTTGGAATCCTCTTCTGTTCTTTCCCATACCATTTGAGGAGGGTTGTTCTGTGCTAGCCAGTCAGCTACTTTGTTTTCTGGTGCCATCATTCCTGTTTGAATCCCTGGCAGGTCTTGAGTTCCAGAAGACTTCTTTGACTTGTGGCGCTGATCAGAAGTAAATTTTGTCACATGGTCTCTAATAGTTACCTTCCCTGGGGTACTATCATCAAATTCAATGGTAAATGAAGCATGCCCTGCACCTGTTGTATGTGAACTTGGTGTGTCTTTTGTTGGGATTTCATGAATAGTGCTCTCTGTTATTTGTGATGGTTGCTGAAATTCTTTTGTAGGGATTTCAAAATAACTTGGTTCCCTACAGAAAGGAAAAAGTACTTCTTCATTTGTAGCTGCAGACTGTTCCTCAGCTTGCTTGGCATCTATGCTGCATCCTAATGAAAAAATAAGAAAAAATTCAAAATACTTTGGAGCTTTTAGCACTTGATGGAGTATAGTAATGGCCATCTGTATTACTCCATGAGAATCAGAAGGCAGATCACAGTCTAGATGAAAAACAATGGAAATGTCATAGAGAAGAAGTAATTCTGATTATAAACATGTCAATCAGTTACCTATTAGGAAATGCAAGACAAGCAATAACAATGGAAAGGATAGCAAATCAGTTAAAGGATGGACCTCGCATGCCTAGGTACCTATTTTTTCTGACTTGGATAAGAAATCACCAAGGTGCAAAAGAACTAAAATCAAATATAAATGAAGATTCATGTTTACTGTACATAACTAGAGTGATAAGAAAAAATATGAATTTCCTTATCAAGTCAGGAGGATGAAGTATCTGAAATATCTATGAACACAATAGAGCTCCAAAGGAGAACACATGCTGAAATGAGGAAGTACACACAAAGTCAGTATGTAAGCAATGTTTTAGTAGTAACAATTTCACTTACCATTCTTCACCATCATATTCAGAGACAATACTTTAAGAATGGCAAAAAAAATAATATACTGATATGATTCTTGCAAGAGAGAGATACATTTTATAAAGAATGAATGATTAAAGATAAAACGTGTGGTTTGCTTGCAGCATTGCAATCCAAGCAGCAGTGTGAAAGAAATGAGGTAAAAATAGAAAATTCAGTAGCCAGCCAATAATTCCAGAAGAAAATTCGTGTACATTTCTATACAAGAGAATATGCACAAGTGTCAAAACTCTATGGAGTAAGTCTAAGATCAACAACAACAAAAGTTGGCAGGAAAAGCAAGCAATCCTGGAAGACTTTCACTATCTGCTGCCTCAGAAATAAATGTAAAGGAATAAAAATAAGGTATTTATGCATAAACTATGTACATGAAAGCAATAAATATATAAATGAAAGTGATAACTGACATTTTTCTTTTAAACATGCATTGTAATTGCAAATGTGAAATAAAAACAAAAATTAAACTTGCCTAAGTTTTTCAGGAAGCAAAGAAACATCAATTCTCAAGATGGTAAAGAATAAGTTCAAATGAATAATATTTCCCTTAAACTCAATAAAGTCGTCCGTTTTTAAGTACATTATTAGAAAAAAACACTGATAAGTAGCAAGAAAAGGCAATACAGGGAGACTAGGTAGTTTCTAATCATTTTCTAATTAAGTGAAGTATTTCATCTTCTGAAACACTTTTTAAAATATCAAATCTTGATGGGACTTTCCAACTGCTAAAATTTCTCAGCAGTACTGAGTATTAAACAGCCATTAAACTGTTTGCCATTAGAGTATAATGATGTGACAGCAAATCTATATAATTAAATGTATAGAAGACAAGCTCCACTTCCAAAAAGAGTAAAATAAAATCTACACAGAAGGTAAAGAGAATGTCTAACAAAAAGAATTTTCAATCTAAAAACTATTCTCTTTAAAATCTAATACCAAAGTTTTTCTTAGAACTGAAAACATTTAGAGAATACTAGAAATTGCACATTATCAAAGCAATAATTTTAATGCTATCTGAAGAATAGGTTATACAAGAATTTTTTTTTAAAGATTTATTTATTATACAAGAACCGGGGCACAGGCCAGATGTGTGGGATGGTGAGAGGATTCACCAGAAACAGAGTGGGGAACAGAACAGGCAGACTGATGAAACATACTGCTGAAGGGAGCAGCAGGTAGAACGAGAGGTCTGCCCCGGCATGTGGGACCCTTGCCGGCCGGCCGGGATCGAACCGCCACTGCAGAGGCTGCGAACAGCTTCACAGCACAGCGCTCAACCACCTGTGCCACCAGGGGAGGCCCAGTTACATAAGATTCTTAACCTGAAGTCACATTTTCAATTTCTTCATCAAAGAGCTCTTGATTTTTTCTTTATAATAAAATATCATATGGATTCTGGGTGTATACTCTGAAGGTCTATCACGTAAAATTTCCCTGAGTATAAAATGTATTAACCATTCCCCATATACTAAGAAACTCATGACTAAATGTTAAACATTGATTTATTTATCAGATACAATGAACTGTACTCAACCAATTTCACACAGTATAACTGGTCTATAAACCTGTCTTATCAGTCTTGTCTACCTACCTACCTTCCTTCCTACCTACCTACTTAGACACACACACACACACACACACACACACACACACACAACATTCTTTATCCTTCAGGTAACAGAGTAATGCTGGGGACAAGGGTGGAACTACAAAAGTGTGTGTAGGAAACTACCACCACTTGGATATCCAAATAAAATAATGTGGCTGAATTATGAAGCAAGAAACACGAAGAACTAGTCCAGGGTACAGCATTTTATCACCAATTGTCACTCATGAGTCAAAGAAACATTTACACATTTTTTCTCCCATGAGAAAGAAAAATTCAGTTACTGTTAACATACTTTCAACATGTTTTCACATTATTTAAAACTGCAGATTACCTGCATACCACTGTTTTGAAGCTTATCCTTCATCCTATCACAAATTACCTTTACTTCTACTTCTAGAAATCTGTGACTTAATATAAATTAATTCCTATTTTATCTAGAAATCAGTTATCTACAATATCACATAGCATAACAGTGTGGGAAGGCAGCATGTTATGATCTGATGATTTTATAACCAGACAACCTGGTTTTGAGGAAACGAGATAAAATTTGAAATCAGATAAATTATGGCTCTATCAATATTTAATCTTTATTTTCCTCACTGTAAAATGGGGAAGTAGTCCTATATATCCAGAAGCTTGTGAAGATTTAGGGAGATAAGTATTGAGATAAATTTAAGTTACCCAGAACAAAGCCTTGACAAAGTAGGCACACAAATCAACATTTCTCTTTTATTCCCCTAACTCTCCAACACAGCTACAAATTAGGGAAACCAAAACCAAAAACCTAACTCTAAAAAGCCCATCAGAAATGACAATGCCTATAATCTAATATTCATGAGCTTTACTAACAGAGAAGGTCCTCATTAAGAATCTTTTACTATGAGATTACAAATTTAGAGGAGTAGAAATGAGGATTAAGGGTCAGACACATTGCACTAAAAGTCAAGTAACAGAGATAAGACAAAATACGATGAAGAGTAGACACATTGTTTAAAAACACAGTCACCCAAGATCACTCAGCATATAAAGCAAATAGTCTTACATACTTCAAAGTCTCCCAAGGACATCAATATAATGTACCAGAGTTCAATGACTGATATTCATAATAATAATTCTGAATCATAATGCAAAACCTTAATTTATATTCAGACTTCTCTGCTTTAAAAAGCATTCAAGGCAATTCATCTAACAGAAATTCAGGAAATGGTTAAACTTCTAAAAACAACTATGAGTTGTAAAATTCAGTCATCTGTAAAATTCATTATACAGAGGAATTCATTTTTCTAAAGATGATAGAAACAGATTAAGTGTGGGTCTACTTGGGAATAAGGCCTAGTAGAAAATTATTTAATAGGGTTTTCTAAATTAATACAGAAAAATAAAATAGCTTTTCTCTTTCAGAACACTGATAGAACATACTCCAGAATTCATGGGTTTAATATTCTCTTCAAAACCAATTTTTACTAAATTTAAATAATACACTAATATTTCATTTTTATTAAATTATGTTATTACTTTCAATCATTAGATATTTAAAATTAATAACTGCCTATGCTAGAATTAATTGCATATATCTAAATCAGAAGAATTGGTGATAATATGCTTAGGTTAAGGTACTTTCTAATTGTGTGACCATTCAGGAATATTTTTAATATATCAATACATAATCCAGAGTGATACTTTCAACCTTCTGTATTAAATTAAGTGAAATACTGAACTAATTTGAGATGAAAATTATTTAATTATGAAGGTTTATTCTGCTTAAAACATCCATCCAACCCAGTACTCCAAATTACAAAGACTGGGAAATTCCTTTTGCTAATAAAGGAGTTACAAGGGCTTTCCTGGTGGCCTATGGGTTAAGTCTCAATGCTATCACCCCTATGGTCTGAGTTCAATTCTGGCCAGGGATCTAATGGCACATGGCACAGCAAACCTCTCCTATCTTGCCTGCTGCTACTCCCCTTAGCTGTGTATTTCAGTGGATCTGCCTATTCTGCTCCCCACTTTGTCTCAGGTGAATCCTCTCATCCCTGTCCTCTGGCCTACATCACCCTAGTTCTTCTACACAAAGAATAAACAAAAAAAGTGTGTTATAAAAAAAGGAGTTACAATTTCTAAGTTTCTAAATTTGGTTTGACTACCTTAAAAAATTAAGGTTAAAGAATCCAAAATCAATTCCTAATAGTTGCACACAACTTTTCAAATGTATGCAACACTTAAGAATCTTTCACTGTAACTTAAACAAATGTTTAAAACAAGCTAGCAGGTAGCAAGAGCACACCTGTAGCTAAAATAAGGACAAATTCCTCTTCTTAATAGGATTCAGAATATTCATACAATTTCAGGAGAACTTCAATGCTCTACTTTAAATTCTGGCTTCCAGTGTTTTTTATGCTATATGGTAAATCTAGAGGAGCTTCTGGAAACGTGGACCCATAGAGAAGAACAGAATAGAATTACTAGGTAGTAGATAATCTATCATTTTTAGAATGTTTACACTCCATAATTAATACTAATATTTTACATTCTATAAATCGGTAACCAAGAAGCAAAAGTTTCTTTTATAAATGCCTTTAATTTCAAAATGATCAAATGAAATAACATTTACTATACTTTTTCAAATATGATTCTATAATTTCTTCTGGCTTCATAAATTATTGCAGGTCAGTATACTTTTTCCTCATCTTATATCTTGAGAAACTTCAAGAGATAAATCTTAAAATGTCTTTACTGCAAAAATGCAGAAGAGACTTCTCATAAGGGTATCAAGCTGTTTAATCTGACAGGATAGTGTAAGCTATTTAACAGAAGACTTAAATCACTTAATTTCTTCTTACTCAAAAATAATCCCAAGATAATGAGACAGTTTTAGTCATTCAGTAGAAATTATAGTCAATGAGATAAGCAACAAAAGACTATAATCATTTAAGAATTTAATTTCATATGCATTAATGAAATTACTGCTAGATGCTTCACAGTTTGAAATTTGTTTTATTATGTTAAGATATAAGGGATCAATTTTTTAATGCCATCTGTTTTTAAGCCTTTTTAATTTGTGAAGTATATCCTTTAGGACTGACTGTGCTTATATGTGTGTGTAGTCACTGCTAAAACGCTAACTACATGTGGTAAAGAGCATGGACTCTGGAATCAAGCTACCTGGGTTCAAATTCTATCTCCACTATTTGTTAGTTGGGTGACCTTGGCTGGTGAATTCACATCACCGAATCTCTGTTTTCTGATTGACAAAATGGGGAAAGTGATAACAACTTTAAGTTACTACTATGATGATGAAAAGATTAAACATATGCAGGACACTGAGAAGAGTGTCTGCATAGAGTAAGCACCACAGAATTTGGCCAATCATTACATTCTGTTGTGTTTTCATTTGAACTACCCACCTAATTAGTACATTTTTCCCCCTTTCTCTCCCACTCTTTAGGGTGGTTCTAGTGCACAACAGTAATATGTAATCCTTGAATTAAGGAACTTAACATTTTAGATGATAAGGCATACTTATGATAAATCAAATAGTGTTACACTAGATATAGATAGATCATTTACAATTTCATATTACCTATGTGTGTGTGTACACAGGAATTAGTGTAATTTATGTGGGGATGTATGGGAAACAGTCTAAAAACAACTGGTAGTAGAACATAAGGCTTCCTAAAGAAAGTAGACAAAATTAGCAAGAACTTTGACATGAAAGACTTAAAATCTAGCTGGCAGACAACAGGCAGTCACTATAATTTCTTGCAAAAAAGGAAATAAAGACCGATTTATTTTGCAACATGAACCGTAGGGAGGTTGAAACTGGAAGTACGAAGTTCAATTGTGACTCAACAAGAGGAAAAAAGGGCAAAAGCAGCAGGTAATATAGTAGATAGATGAGGTAAAGAAAGGAATACACAAAGATTTTAAAGAGTAAACATTATTAACTCTTCCAATGCCCATTTTCTGTTTCTCCCTCCAAAAACAACTCCAACATTCCAAGTATCTACTCTTCTCTGACACCTGTGCCATAGGGGAAAACTAACCACCCTTACACTATTTCAGAGTGGACAAGATTCATTTAAGGATAATACCATTACCTTGCAAAGGATTGGTACAGAAATTAGCAAGTGACCTATCCTGAAGAACTTGTGAGAAGCCAATGAGATGAGATGCGTTGAGAGCATTTGGTAAAGTTTTGCTTCTAATTTCTAAGGAATCTTCTAGAAGTAACCTTTACTATTTTCTGTAATATGCATCCCTCAATTTTGCTGGCAGGCAGCCAATAAGAATGAGGGGAAACTCCCCCCTTACACAGCCACTACTGTGACTAAAAGGGCTAACAAAAGGAAAAGAAACTAGGAGGCTGATGATAATGTAGAGATTCTGTGTTAACCAACTCTGATGAGGTTATTTAAGACTTCCTGCTTAAGTTTCCTTCTAAAGTCAGGTAACACTCTAGTTATTTACATTTGAAGGTATAATAACACTAAACTCTTGAGCTTGGGCATGAAGAAAATTACTTGGTAACAGAAATAAAGAAGTCTTGATGAGAATTTATTTGTACAGTTGACACTCTTCACTTCGGGGCACTGAAAGATCATGTTGGTAAGGCCAGCTTCCTTTAACTTGTCTCCTGATAAAGTTAGAGTTATATTTAAAGAACCAGTGCTCTTATTCTCCCACTAAGAAAACTGTCTTATCTTGGAGAACTAGAATCACAGGTAGAAAACTGAGAAGATTTCTGATGGAATCTACCCTGACTCAAAGCCAGACTTAGAGTTCCACACTGTTCCCTGGTTTCTGCATTTTATCCTTCACTTCTGGCTCCTTTATTTGCCATTTCATGGAAAGAGGCTGCTTCATCCATCAATGTTGATGTCTTTGCCAAGTCTTTATGTGACAAATAATATCTCCATTTATTTCCTGGAAATTTTTATTTTTTTTATGGTTTGATTTATTATTAAAAGGCTCCAACAAAAGAATATGTTCCTTGATTATTAATTGCAGAAAGTGACTTGGAACTGCTTCTTCATTCTGGCTGCTGAATTCAGCTAATCTTGTTGTTACCATATCCAAATTGAGGACTTAAAGAAATTAAAACTTTCTATCACGTTTCTAAACACAATAGAAACTGTTTATTTAAAAATAATATTGTCAATTAATGAAAAAATTAACTTCTACCTAATTAATATATTTCAATGATATTTCTAAATAGTTAAAATGCCCAATTCTACTGTTAATCTAATTTCCAAGTTTTAAATAATCTCATAAGCGGGAAAAAAACATTTTATATAACTGTGATTTACAATAATTGGGATTAATAATTTCTGTGAGAATACTCATAAATAAGTTTCAATTAAAGTGACCATGTCATTGAAATATTCATCAACTATTCGTTTTTATCAAATTAAAGAGTAGTAGAAATATCTCCTCAGGGTAGACAGAATTTTGTTTAGGCATAAATTCTTCCCTTAATATCTACTTAATGTCATTGTCTGAGACTTTTTACCTGATGTTCCAGTTTCATGATTTTTTCCTTCATATTTCCCATTTGACTTGAAAGCTCGTTGGTCATCAACTTCATCATCCCCCCACCATGATGGCTGCCCATATAAAGGTGTACCACGAGGCACTGCAGAAACATCTGGAAAGAGGGAAAAATCTGTCTAAAGCATCTGAAACACAAATAATACACTTTTGCAGACTACTAGAATTACCTGGTGATTCATTAAATGAAAAACAAAGCATATTGTGGATTAATAGAAAGTATTTATAGCAATGTTATAAGGCCAAATTCAATGTTGGACTTGATTAAATAAATGTTGGACTTGACTAAATAAATAAATGAAATTCTACATTGGTTAGTATCTAAGTAAAGCAAACTGCTATATCCCAACAGCTTTTTTAGTTAAAGAGGAATCAGTTCTTTGTACATAGAAATGACTCCTAAATCTTAAATATGAAAGAGAAAATTAAAGTAAATGTTAATCAACTTAAAAAACGGCTTTTGTTGGAGTAGGGTTATTTGTGTAGAGCATATTCAAGCGCTTAGAACAAGATATAAATATTAATTATGATGCTGTTGTATTATTAGATATTTCTTTTTAATTCATTTGTTATAATTCAGATGAAAAAAGCAAAGGTGAAATAATGAAAATATTGTAAGGTAAACTACATTTACCTTTCTTAAATATTTAAACATATTAAACATGACTACATACAAATGCCACATATAATTGTGTGTTTTATAATGCTTTTTGGCTACATTACAACCTACTCTGAAATTGTCATTATTATATATTATTTTTAATAAGGACAGAGACAAGAGTTTTCAATTTTTTCACAATCAGACATATAGATACTATTTTCAAATAGATTAACTCACCCATACTTTTTTCCTCAGATTTCAGCGATTCAGTAGCTTTGTGCGGCACTTCTGTTGTCGTATCGACTATCTTTGAATCTATGCTTTTGGCACATGCAGATTTTGCTAGTTCTGATTCTGAAGATTTTTGGGACAGCTGCAGTTGGATGGTAAACTTCTCATGCTATAAAACATTTTAAAAATGGAAGTTAAACACCCATAAGTACAATCAACCTCAGTACATCACAGGTTTATCAAAGAAATAACTAAAACCCTTTTACCTTTAGAGCTTCTTCAGGGACTCTCATTTCTCCTCGAACTACAGTAAAAAGATTTGTATGTAAACAGAGCTAAGGAAAAATATAATTTCAAAATTCTGAAACTCAAAATGATCAGAGATAATTTAGAAACTGTCACATTTTTAAGAGGTAGTCACTGCGCAGGTAGTATAAATATTTAAATATTTAAACATATTAAACATGACTACATACAAAATGTCATTAAACATGACTACATACAAAATGTCACATATTTTAACAGTTGTTAAAATATGCTTCTAAATGTAAAATTGTTGTTTTTAAATATATTTAAAAATATTTAAATACATTTTAAACATTAAAATCTAGCTATAATTTTAACCATCAGTAATAATGGTTTTCAAGAAGCAAAAAACTGGGTAATTAATCACAATACAAAGGATATTTTTAGTTTTTACTACAAAGTAAAAACACCTGAATCCAAACATACAGATAACTGTCACAAAATTGTAAATGGAAGTATCTCTTGGCTACTCAGTAGTAAATCGTGAAGATATTCAAATAGTAAGACATCATAAGCATTGGCAAAAATGAAATTGTTTTGAAAGTACAAAAGAAATGCTATAATCGGGGTCATTACATCAACCACAACTATCCCTTTCTGCTTGGAATTGCAATCAGGGTCATATCGCATTATCAAACAACTGATTCTATAAAGAATTGAACCAAGTGCTAGATATAATGAATGCTTTCATTATGTGCCTGAAAGAACAATGCCTCTGTATATGAAAAAGATCTTTCACTAAACAGCAGAGGTCACATTTCCCACCATTACTAAGCCCTGGAATTAAAGAACTTTTGCAGCCCTGTACTAAATTCTAATCTTCTTTACTATTACGAAACACCCATTACTCCGAAGGTAGAAAGCTGTAATTACCACAACTACTTGGATAAAGAAAAGTGAACTTGTTAATGAGCAATGTATATGTCTGCTCGTTAAAATAAAAAGAATTATTTTAGATTTATAAGAAGTTTTGGGAAATACCCAGTTTAATTTAACCTGTTCAATTTCATAACCCAGTTTAATTTCATTAACGTTTTGTTAAACTAAGTTCCATAGAATAGAAACTTGAAGATTACAGGGGCAGAACCCAAGACAACAACCCAATCAACTGAATCCCAGTCTAGGCTTCCTTATCTTACATTACTTCCCATAGCTTTGAAATATTAAAAAAATCCCTTTTTCATTAGTGTGTGTGTATGTGTGTGTATATATATATATATATATATATATATATATATATATATATAGTCACACATATTTGTTCATAGATGTTTGCTGGCATATATGGAAATACTATTAAATATTTCATAACTAAGTATATTTAATAAAAAAAAAAGGTCGAGTCACTGTTTTACCCCCAAGAAACTCATTAACAGCTAGAATGCATAATATCCCCACATTTTCCAAGGAAAATACTGCATCTTAAAAAATTAAGAGCCATTTCTATTTTTTCCATAAGAAATACAAATGATTTTTAGCTTGCGGTGAGGATTATCTATTATTTCAAGTTTATTCCTGGAGTATTCAGATTATTCCCCAAGGATAGTGTGTACTATCCTTGTGACTTAGATTCCTCTAAACTCAAGGAACACTTGAGAGACTACATTCCTTAAGATCAAGCACTTTACCTTCCAAGAAGTCTCCTATGTACGGGACTCAAGAATTCAAAAAGCCTATTGATTAGATCATGAATTTACCTGAGTACTCATATGACCATGAGATTTTTCAGACTGTCCTAATACTAGCTTTTACTACCAAAGCTACCATTGTCATAGTGGTGCAAACCTAGGTAACTGCTTTTAACTTGCTGATTAAAAAAAATGACAAATTGAGGTACAATTACTCATGATGTCAATAAGTTAAAAATATACAATTAGTATTATTAATAATAATAATGTCATTTCTGAAAAACATGCAAAAATTTTAAATATTGTATTATTTGTTATTTCATTTTCTTACATAAGAAACTGAGTGCTATTCTTACTCATCCCTATGCTCAACTTATTTATGGAATGTGTATATAAAAGCAGGATCATTGAAACTAAACTTGCCTGCATATTAGCAATGCACTCTATGACATTCTACTTAAGGAGAACAAGAGAGCAAACTCTAAATGTTTTACTCTTGGAGTATGGCCTTAAAATATCAAGTGTAAAATATCATTGTGAACACATCTTTCAAAAATCATCTAAAAAATTGTCATTAGGTTGTTTCACTGGGGAGATACTAAACACTTAGTAAAACAAAGGTAAGAAATTGAAAAATATTTTCCAAATATTATATAATGAGTTTTAATTGCTTGGAAGGAGATTTTCTGTGTCACAATTTAGATATATATTAATACAACAGTCTCTGAAAAAGTATATTACTAAAAGTAACTATGGCCACATAAATGAGAATACTTGAATAAAATTATTTTATGCAATGAAAAAATGGGGAAAACTAATTTTCTAATTATATTTTGTATGTGCAATTTTACACATATGTGCATGTACATACATATGCAAATATATACATATTTATGAGGCTATTCTAAAGTTCTCCTTACCTTTGTTTGGCTCTTCTCACTAGGAATACTGGAAATTCCCTTTATTTCATTGTTTGATAATGATATATACAAGTGTATTAAATCAGATTCCAACTATAGTAACAAGGCAGATCCTAAGAAATGCCAAAGATTTAAAAATGTTAATGCTGGGCCTCCCCTGCTGGCGCAGGCTGTTGAGCACAGTGCTGTGAAGATGTCCACAGCCTCTGCAGCACCAGTTCTATCCCGGCTGGCTTGCGAGGGTCCCACATGGCACTGCAGACCTCTCCTGTCTCACCCGCTGCTCCCCTCAGCAGTGTACTTTGTCAGTCTGCCTGTTCTGTTCCCCACTCTGGCTCTGGTGAATCCTCTCACCCTCCTGCAAATCTGGCCTGTACCCCAGTTCTTGTATAAATAAATAAATAAATCTTTAAAGAAATAATAAAAATAAAAATGTTAATGCCAAAAAACAAAATTTGTATCTATTAGCTTAATTTTGACTATACCCTCAGGACAATAAGTCATTTTAAAATAACAATGACAAACAGTAATAGAGGACTACCTTATCCAATTTGGAAAGTACTTTATCCAGCTTGTCACTGTACTATAGAAGAACGTAAGTTTTAAGCAACAATTTTAACTTTTCTTACATCATTTTATTCTTTAACAGCTTCTTTTAATTTTTTAATTCAGTTCTTTCAGGATTTGAGAGATATGCTCTATCTTTGAAATTTGGAAAAATGTGTGTTATATTTGCTGTGGATATCAAATACATTAGGAAAAAACCATGGAATGGAGAGTCCTTAATTTTTAACTATGTTTATCCCTTCTTCCTGGCTTGATCTTTTAGCACTCATTATTTGTGCTGCCAAGTAAACTGTAGTATATGTAGTGTTCCACGCATAGATAATGACCTTTCAAGCTATGACAATAATGTTTAGCTTGTTTCTATGTGATTAACCCAATTATTTTGTGGGCCAATTTGGCAGAAGCAGACAACTTCTTTTTTTTAATAATTCTGTTAATATTTTTTTTTTAAGATTTATTTTTATTTATTTATACAAGCACTGGGTACAGTAAGAAGTGTGGAGGGTGAGAGACTTCACCAGAGCCAGAGTGGGGAGCAGAGCAGGCAGAAGGACCGAAGTACACTGCTGAGGGGAGCAGCGGGCGGCAGGAGAGATCTGCGCGCCATGTGGGACCCTCCTCCAGTGGCCGGGGAGCAGCCGGGGATCGAACCGGCGCTGCAGAGGCTGCGGGCAGCTTCGCAACCCAGCGCTCAACCGCTGTGCCACCGGGGAGGCCCAAGACAACTTCTTTGAGAAAAGATACAAATCCCATTTTTAAAAATTAAGGTTGTGGGCCTCCCTGGTTGCGCAAGGGGTTAAGATGCAATCTATGAAGCTATCCACAGCCACTGCAGCATGAGTTCGATCCACGGTCAGGGAGCAACCCACATGGAGCAGCACACCTCTCCTGACTTGCCCGCTGCTCCCCTCAGCAGTGTATTTAAATCTGTCTGTTCTGTTCCCCACTCTGTCTCTGGTGAATCCTTTCACCCCCCCACACACACCTCTGGCCTGTACCCCAGTTCTTATATGCATAAATAAATAAATCTTTAAAAAATAAAACATAAATAAATAAAAATAAAATAAAAAATAAAATAAATGAAAAATAAAAAAATAAAAGGTTGAGTATTTATAATGTCTCATATAAAGGAGAACAGTAAGAGGGAGAATTTAAGATTAAAGATATTTAAGTAATGTTTAAATCATTTTTTAATACACATGAAAATCATACCATACTGATATTTCTAGCTGATTAATGGTTCCGTTTACTGGTTTTTCATCTCACCTATCTTTTATATTGAAATGTAGCAAGTTTAAGTTCTTGGACCTCACAAATCTATATGTACTCTCTTAGTTATTGCAAGGTTTTAAATATTATTTATACAATGAAAAATTCCAAGTTTTTGTTTCTAGTCTATAACTCTACCCCAGCTTCAACGTGTATATTCCAAACATCCAAAATGAAATTTTTAGACATCTGTTTCCAGTATGACAGAGTAAAAGCACCACATTTACTATCCCAATTGAACAATCCAAAAATGTACAAAATAAGTAAACAATGCACTTCACAACTATCAAAATCAGGCAACAAATGACAGTGATTCCTGAAAGAAGAGAAATAAATCAAGGTGAGTACAATGACTGTTTCAATTCATTCCACTACCAGTCACTCTACAAAGAGATGTAACCCAGGTAGACCTGGCAGGCTCTCTAAGGTTGACTACTGAAGACACCTGCAGAGAAAGAGAATTCCAGAGATTATAAGAGAATCCTACTCAGTAAGATCAGTATTTAGCTGAGTACTGACTGCACATGCAGGTGAGAAAATTACTACCTAGGGCTAGGGTGAGAACCATCTGACAGTATTAAAGGTAATAGTTTCCAGGGCTCACACTGGGCTAGTAATAATATTTATTTCTA